TCCGCATAAATTTGCCATTGAGCAGGACTCTGTCTTGTGGCATCTGTGCCCTGTGGTCACTTGACATCTTAAGCGGTGCGACCTCGAGGCGCCCCCAAAAGAGTTTCCGGTATTTGGGCGCCGTACGGGGTTATCCAGGAGTTATCCTCCTGCCGCAGGACATGCCGGGCGCCTGTTTTCGGGTTGCTCCAGCCTTTTAATGTGCCATTCTCCCGACGCGTCACACATAATTATGGCGGATGTGCTGCCCAACGAAGCGTTAAGTCGAATTCTCGGTTCCCGCCCGGAATCCGCAGGATTCCTGGGTCTCCCCCTCCCAGATGCCAGTTGCCATTTGTGCCCTTTCATGGCGCTCAGGCCATGCATGTATTTTATTTTTTATGCATTATCATGTAACTGTGTGCTTGCTGTGTTATTGTTGCGGCGGCTGCGTCGTCTTTCATTATTATTTATGCTTTATTTATATTTGTACGCACTTCCTGGCTGGAGCCCCATGGAACTTGGAAGCGGGTGCCACACGGCGTATGCGTCATGCACGCCTACATGCTCGTGAATCAAAGGAGTAGAACCCAAACACATCCTATGACTTCTGCGACCACACTTCCATCTGCATCTCCATCTCCTCCATCTCATTGTTATGCTAATGGCCTACGATATATGAATAATAAGCCCGGCCACTGCGCGACTGCTGACCGCTGCGTTTGAGACTGTGATTTCGAGCAGATCCTGTGGGTCCTGTGGAGTTGGTCCTTTGACGACGACAGTTGTCGCTTCAGTTATGCAAATGCCGCAAAAGGAGGAAGTCGTCGTCGGACACGAGGGAAGTGGTCGAATATTTGATATCTTTATATATGTTTTCGAGAGCAACGCAAATTGTTTTCCCCCTGTTGCTCCACGACTCAGCCATTCAGACTTGCTCCTGCTGTTGGCATATAAATCTGAGGGCCCCTTAAGCCTCGTACGCCTGTTGGGTGTAAAAAACCCAAAGGAAGTTTTAAGTTTAGTTGTCGTTTCGGCATTCCCGGAAGCTCTTACAGGCAGCAGCCGCATACAACACGTGCATAAGGCTGCTAAAGGATGCGAAGGATGAGCTGCCTGGATCGAGATGAGCAATCGTAAAATGTGAAATTTTATGTCTTCACCAGACTAACTGTTGCTCGACTCCTTTTTTGGCCGGACAGCTGCCATAAATCGTGACTCGTGCCTTTTAATGCTCACCTTTTGTGTTGTTTTGTAGCTCATTTGCCATTAATCTGGCGAAACTTAAAGTGGGATTACCCAACGCAGATGCGCTAGCTTACCAGTTTTTTAGCATATATGTATAAATTTTTGAGTAAATTTTGCACCCTTCTAGGTTCTAAAATAAAGGACAGCACATAACCTAGAATTTCCAGTAGTTATTATAAAAGTATCAACATCAATACATTCGAATTCGTGTTTCGCTTGTTTTTGAAATATGCAACAATGTTGTATTTAATGGAACGCTATGGTGAATTTTGACTGCAAAACATTTTCTGCTTTATTTGCTGTTCTTTTCTGGAAATTATGACCTTTCTCCCATTGTTGTGACCCCATTTTTCGCGGCCCAAGCACGTTTTATTTGTTTAAAGAACTATTAAAATGGCATAAACAGGAACTCGAATGGCGATGGCAATCGCCTCGCGTTGGCCAACTGGAATGGCGGGCAGTAGGACGTTGGACTGTTGGACTGGCTAACTGGCAGTGCCAAAGTTTTATCTGGCCAAGAGAGGGAGTGGCATTGGAGGGGGCCAGCTGGTGCTGGCTTTGCAGCATTGGAGCATTGTTGTTGGCCGTATTTGATTATCGCATTTCATTTTGTGTCGGGTGAATGTAGAAAGTTGAATGCAAATTTGCATGACACCAACAGAAGCGGCCAGTGGGCGGCAGCTGTTGTGGGTGGTCGAAATGCGAAATACGAAATACGAAATACGAATACGGCAACAATCACACCAACCATCATCATCATAATAATAACAAAGCAGACAGAGCAGAGAGCAACACTGCCCCATCCTGGGATCCTTTTTATTTTTCAACCATTGTGTGCCCGGGCCAGCGGAATGCTGGGCGATGGGTTGTCAAAGTTTTTAGGTATCATTTCAGTTTATTTGAATTATTCATAATCCGGACGGCAGCGTAAGAAACAAACAGCAACTCAGACAAGGCCCGGCCAGCAGAAAAGCTGAAAAAGCTGGCCAAAGATAACGGAAGCAGCAAATAAAAATCATTCATTGTAAACATTTTCCCCTTGCTGCAAAGTTTTTTCGGCAAACAAAACAAAAAGGAAGGGAAACGTAGCCGCAGCTCAAATTCGATTCAATCAACAGAGAAATATGAAAATCCCACAGATCCCAAAGCCCTGCAAAAAATATGTACCATATTCGGTGTTCAACTGTAAATTAAGTGAAACATTAAATATTTAACTTGTGCAGACTTAACTTTTGGGGCTTATTTTGCCGAGCGCTTTGCACCTGTTGAGTCCTTCCTGCACGTCCTGTGAATCCTTTGGCCATAAGCAGCACTTTCCCTGCTCGCAGCAATCCCTTCAAGTGCGCCCATGCAACACGCAAATGCCTAATAGTCAAAGTTCCCCATCTTTTGTTGTTCTTGCCACAGTTTCGCTTGCCTTCTTCCACAGCTATTGAACTCTTGTTTGACTCATGCTAAAATGTGCAATAAATTGAGCACTTCCCGCGGATCCGTGGGGCATTGGGCGGGGTGAAAGGTGAAAGGTGGCCCCCTCTCGTCTCACATAGTTTTATAGCAGTCACGCGACATCCTTTGCGCGATATAAATAGAAAGGCAGCGTGCCCGAAATGTTTGTAAAAATTGAATGTTGGTTAGAAAGCAACACAGTCAATCAATCAGCCCTACTGACAAGATAAACACCAGATGCACTGGAAATAAGGAAATAATCATTTCAGGCACTTTCAGGATCTTGATTTTCGCTTTTTTTAAAAAGAGAGGAGAAGAACTGAATATATATTCGTAAGAATATTATATACAACATCTCTCACGACACGGGAGTACATTTTTAAGCATTGATATTATTTTGCATCAGTTTTAGCCTAATTTAAGCCATTATTAGCCTTAATTTAAGCTGAAATGAGCAAAATTATCGTCCAATTATGGAATGATATACCTCTATCGACTCGTAAAAACATAAGAAATCGAATGGCATTCACAGTTTAAAAAATTTTTTTTTTCAGTTTTGACCCATTTTTTGCAAAAAATTGTGATGTAACCCCTTATAAAAATTGCAAAAATTAAAAATTTTTTTTTTTTTTTAATCAAACAAAAAGTGATAGGTGTCGAAAGTTCTGGTTGCTAGCTGCAAAAAAATGTATATTTCAGAGATTTGGCTTAACTATTGGTTAAGTTACAGCCCAAAATGTAAGAAAATCGTATTACTAAATGGACGTTTTTAGGGCAATGAGAAAAATATTGATCGTAGTATAAAGTGCACTTTATTTTAGCCATGTTATAGCTGGAATTTTGTGGCAATATACCGCAACTTGCCACAATTTAACGAGAAATTGTTGAAGTTTTGCGCAATAGCTTTAAGAAAGTTTTTAGCATCTTAAGTGAAAGCCAGCTTAAAAGGGACCTTTTCATTTTTTCGAGTGAATGGCCAGTTGGGCGGCGAGTGAAGAGGCGTGCAAGCGGCAAGAAATTAGCACAAACTATGCCGCAAGAAAAGTTAGTTGCGAAGCCTAATAAGCGGCGCCCATGGGCGCCCCACAAAGCGACTGCACGGAAGGGGGGCTGCCCCACGCCCACCCACATTCATACTCACCAGCCGCCCACTTGGCCGACGATTTGCCAACGTTTTCACTTTCACATTTGCGTGCTGCCGTTGACGTCGCTCCGCTGCCGCTGTCGCTGCTCTGCCGCTGCCTCTGCCTCTGCCGCTGCTCTGCCTGCGTGTCGGCGTCGCTGTCGTCGCATTGCGAATTCCTGGCGGCAGCGGGCAAAGTTTTAGCATACTTTTCGGCGGCGGCGACAGTATTTTTTGTGCACTTGACATGTTTTGACACACTGCACGCTCCACGCTCGTCCTTTGGCCAAAAAGGACGAAGGAGGGCCGCGGCTCCTGGCAGACGGAGGAGCCATGTTCACCGCGCCGCTGGAGTTTGATATTGTTTTGCGCGCCAAAAATGCAAGCGATAATCTGGTGAGCCACCACACCAGCTCCAGTCCTTGGCAACTCACCACGTTGCCCAGGACAACGACTTCCAATCCTTCTCGCAGGACACACCCACCCGCCCTTCCAGGCGTCGCTGTTAGCCTTTGTTTACCTTCGCTGTGCTGTTGCTTTAGTTACTGACCAACAGCGGTTCGCAAAGGAACACTTTTTCACGACTGCTTTTTGTTTTTCCATAGCTGCAATCATTTTGCATGATTAACGCGGGAATATGTTGAATTATTTATTGGCCGGCCATTTTTGTGCCATCGCATTTAATGTGCTGCTGCTGCCGCTGCCGCTGCCGCTGGCGGAGGTGTGATGCGTTTGGAAAAAGTAATTGCTTTTGCCCAATCAGCCACTCGACACTTGCACAAAAGGCCTGGCTGACAACCAATCGACCGAGCAACCAGCAGCAACAACAACTCGCCGGTTAAACAAACAACACAACAGCTACAACACTCGATGCACACACTTATATTCCCACCAAAATATTTGCTGGCAATTAAGCCGGAGACTGTGAAAATTACGCGATCCATCAAACGCTGCCCGGCGGCAAGTGGTAGGGATTGGGGGTTGGGGGTGATGCAAATTGATGCAATATGCAAATGGCATTTTAATTAGTTTATTAATCGGCTGCGGCCTCAGCTCAGCAGGTGCAATCGCCAGGCCCGGCCATAATTTTCCGGCGGGCGAAGTAATTAATTTTTGACCCCACCAGCCAACGCACTTAACTAACTAAAGTGGCTCTGAATTTTGCTCCTTATCGCTGCACTCCATTTCACCTTTCCGATGACAGCCGGAATTGCTGCGGCAGCGGGACCGAAGCCACCGCAACGCGCTGCACTACTGTGCCGCCCAGGACTCGGAAGGGAGCAAGGACCTCGTGGCGGCCGCCAGCATTGCGATCGCAGCCCCCGAGCTGCTGGAGTCGGCGGACGAGGATGGCTTCACACCGCTCCACCTGGCCGTCATCCAGGGCAACCTGGCCATGGTCAATCTGCTGCTGGCCAACAAGGCGGATGTGAACGCGGTGGACAATGAGGGCCACTCGGTGGTGCACTGGGCCACAGGTGAGTGCAGGGCTAATCCCCACAAGCTGCCAGAATAAACTATTTGGTCTAATAGAGACTTCCAGTTCTATTTATCTGTGGTCGACTGTTCTGTTTCTTTTTTCACACAAACCTATTGATTTAACAACTATTTTTATTGGTTGTCCAAAAGTAAACTATTTATGTTTGAACTGTTTTATTTGAACAACAATTTGTTTAACAGCAGTTAACACTTGGCCTAGAGATATTTGCATTGAACTGACCAAACAAAAAGCTGCAGTAATAGCATTACAAATACTATTTCAACAATTGATTTAGCACCGCATGCATTCTCCAATTAATTACATCCAAAAAGTTACTCATTTGTTGACTGCAAAAATGACAATTAATCAATAAACTATTAAGCACGATTAATGTTTGTGGACAATGGCAACAATTTCTAATTAACTTTGTTTATAGTTACACACATATGTTGCTGGAAATAATTTATACAAATATTTTCCTATAGTAATTTGACTAAGTGCATCCCGTGTTTTCCAGTCTGCGGGGAGGTGGAGTCCTTGCGAGCCGTCCTGGCAGCAGGAGCCAGCGTGGCCAAGCCCGACGCCAATGGTGGCACTCCGCTGCACTATGCCGCCCAGATGTGCGGCGCCAGTCATGACAGCAAGCAGCAGGCCAGTTCCAGCAGCAGTTCCAGGCTCGCCCTCGAGATCCTGGGCATCCTGCTCTCCCATCCCCAGAGCAGTGTCGATGTCCAGGACAAGGATGGTCGCCAGCCACTGTTGTGGGCCGCATCGGCGGGCTCGGCGAAGGCAGTGATTGCCCTGGTCAAAGCGGGTGCCCGCGTGGAGTCGTCGGATAAGTGGGTTTCCCTGGTTGGCTCTCCAACTCCAAGATCATTAAATGCATCTAAATGCTTTCAGAGATGGCCTCACTGCGCTGCATTGTGCTGGTTCCCGAGGACACACCGAGTGCATTGACACCTTGATTGGCCTTTGTGGTGCTCCCACGGATCTCATCGATTCCAATGGGTGCACAGCACTGCACTATGCCGTAACCTTGGGCCACGCAGATGCCACTGCAAGATTGCTGGACCTGGAGGCTGATCCCAATCGCCAGGATCGCAAGGGACGAACACCTGCCCACTGCGGCTGCTCCAAGGGTCAGTTCGAGACCTTGAAGCTGCTGAAGGAGCGTGGTGCTAATCTCTGGCTGCGCAATGCCAAGGGCGATCTGCCGCTCCACGAGGCCGCCGCCTCGGGTAGAAGGGAGCTCCTGGAGTGGCTCCTTGCCCAGCGGCCCAAGCAGGTGAACACCACCAGCAATGATGGACGCAGCTTGCTGCACATTGCGGCTGCCAATGATTACACCGACATGTGTAAGCTGCTGCTGGACTACGGCGCAGATGTGAATGCCGTGTATCGGAACTCACGAGGATTGGTCCTAACCCCACTGGACGGAGCTCTGCAGCGTGGTCATCGCTCCACGGCCAAATTCCTGCAGGCCAACGGCGGTCAGCCGGCCAACAAGGTGCGCTTGTCGAGCAGACGGGCTGGGAATCCCTTTCACGAGACCAACGCTACCGACATGGTCAGACCCCTGAAGTATGTGGAGAAGGAGGAGCTGCACGATCTGCGCAGCTCCAAGAAGTACGTGGTGTACCTAAAGCGCACCGATTCGGATAATGGAAACGGGAATGGTAAGGAGGACGAAGGAGATGGGGATTGCAGTTGCTCGGAGCAAACTTATCGAAAGGAGCAGCGATTGAGGCACGTGTGTCGTCGCCACAAGAGAAGGCAACTGAGGAGGCGCACCAGCAGCTGTGGCGAGTCCAAGCACGAGCGGTGCAGCGAGATCTGCCGCTCCAAGAGCAACATCGAGATTCGCAGGCGAAAGTCCAGGGAGCGGTATGCCAGCTCTAGTGAGTGGGAGGAGGAGAGTGCGGAGGACTCCTGCGAAAACTGTTGCTACCACAAGCGACAAAAGGATCGAGTGGTCAACCGCAAGCGCTCCACGTCCTCTAGAAAGTTGAAAAACCGAGACAACAGCGATCCGGACGAGGAGAATCACACGGCGCACTCGTCGCCGGAGAAGGGTTCGCGGAAGCCACTCACTGTCAATGGGGATCACCAGGCTGGAAACGGCCAGGATCAAACCAGTGGCAAGGAACGACCACCATCCGCCAGCAGGCATCAAACGCCACCCACTAAAGAGGGCACCTTCATCAAGTCACCAACCCAGAGCGCCAAGAGCGAGAAGTCCGCACAAATGGATAATCTCTTGGTGGAGGAGTCTCATGCTGTGGAGCTAACAGATGAGGAACAGGAGGCAGCCAAGTCGGTGGTCACACAGGTAGACGTCCATCACGATGCAGAGGAGATTCAGACTTCGAAATCTTCCGAAGAAGCAACGCTGGCAGAGGAAAATGGCAAGGAGCAGGAGTCGGAGCAGGAGGCCAAGCTCCAGCTGAGTGAGGAGGAGACGCAGCTGGTCTCCAAGGAGGTAGAGCAGGTGATCAAAATAGCTGCCACTGCGCTGAGCAGCGAGTCCAAAAGTTCCAGTGAAGAAAAGCAGCTTGAAAAGGCCGCTCCCAAAGAGGGTCAAGAACCTGGGGAAAAGCCTGAAAACGAGGTTAAGGAACACCAAAAACCTCCAACACCATCTGCACCGCCCCCCGAGCCAACCACACCACCACCACCGCCCAAGGAGGAGGCCGCAAAGCCACCAAGTGCCGCAGAGCAACCACAGCCTAATGCCAACACGGTCGAAGGGGCGGAATCTGTGGCTACAGAGCCAGCTTCTGTTGGCAAAAAAACCGAGCAGATGGAGCAGGCTGCAGTCATGCCGAAACCAAATACCAGTCCTAGTCCCACACCTCCACCCACCGCTGCTCCAGCCGCTGCTCCACCTGCTCCTCCCACTGCAGAGCCCAAAAAGCCACCAGCAGCACCGCAGCCACGCCCATCCACAGCCCAAACGCCCACTCCAGCCCAGCCGGAGCCACCGCAAAGGGAACAGGAGACGAGGCGCTCTTTTACACTCCTGCCTTCCGATTCGGCGGACGATGACCCACTTCTGAATCCAAATTCAAATCCAGCAGCCTCAGCTTCCGACGAGCCGGCCGGCGAACGGAAATCGAGCTTTCAAGTTCTGAAAAGCGATGACTCCCTGGATGGAAGCACAAAGAGATCCGGACGCAAGGTCGACTACGAAGCGGCCAATCAAGTCTTTAAGGTGGTTAGCGAAGCGGCTTCTGGCGTCCAGCTGCCCAGCGCCGCTGAGCTGGAGAAGATGGACTACGAATATGAGGAGTACGAGGACGAGTACGATGATGATGAGAGGGATGGCATGGATCCGGAGCACGATAGCGCCTTGCGTCGCTTTCTCAGCAGTGGCAATCGACATGGAGTGGGAGCAGGAGCAGGAGCAGCCGGAGGATCCTTGGCGGATGAGGCAAGTGAGGGCAATGGCAGGAAGCGACGCCTCAAGAAGCGCGTGCGCAGCGGCAACAAAACGCGCAGCAACTGGAAAAACTCTCAGGACTCGCGCGATGGCGGCAACTTGGCCGCCTTGGCCACCACCAAAGACCAGGATTCCGGTTTTGAGCCCAGTCCGCGGGCAGAGCGCAGCAAGATACCCACACTGCGCTCCGCCCACACCGCCCACATGCCGCGTCGACCCATCTACGCCACCTTGGACGGACGCTCCTGCAGCAGCCGGCTGGAAAACCGCAAGCCGGGAGACAAGGGCGCCTGTGAAATGGGCGCCGTCACCAGGTCCATACAGCGCAATATAAGGAGGTGAGTACACTGGAGAACCTTTTTAAAAATCCCACAAATTATTTGAAAGCGTCCAAGTCCAAGTGATGGAATGCAAAGGATAATTCACTTAAAAGCGAGTGTCCTTAGTTCAATGGATAGACTTGATTTAGTAAGAAGAAAGTAACTTCAACTTGTGTACCTTTTTGTACTGATTCCCAGAAAAATATGTGCAAAATCGATATATGCAAATGGCAGTCGTTAATGTAAACTTATAAATTATACGATTTTCCCCGGTGGACGCGAAAGCGGTACAGATTGGCCGTGATTGCGTGGAGCTGCGACCCCGGAGAGTTGATGGCGAGATTCATTCATTTAAATTAATCTCCAGGCAGTTAGTGGCGCCAGCGAAGCTGCCTTTTTGGCCGTAGATTTATATACTTGATGCTTGATTTTAATCAACTTGAATGTCCCGCCGCCCCACTCGCAACGCATTATATCACGCTCTTCAGTTGCGGCTATGAGGTCCTCTTAATGTAATCAGACTGGCCGAAGCATGCCGCCTTAAAGTTAATTTAGCCAGGGATTTAATAGCCCAGGCAGCATTTCTCATTTCTTTTCTTGGTCCTTGTTCTTTTTGCGAAGGACTTTCGCTTACTGTTGCGCTGGTCAGCAAATAAATTGCCCAGCTTCCGTTCGCCATAAAAACGGGCGCTTTAAAGTTATTATAATGCGGTTAAAGGCAATAAACGCGGCATTAATGTACATTTCTCGTGTACTTGAGCGTGAACTATGAGCTGCTGTTCCTGAATTTTAAGCCCCGAGGATTAACGCTTCTGATAACAGGTGGGTGAGCTGCTTGGGACACATTTATTGGTGACAAGTGCTTAATTCGGTTATTCCTACACCCTATATACTACCTTAATTGCCGCAAACATTAAGAAAAAATGTTTGGCTTGGCCATGCGCAGCGTAAATCATCATTTGGCCAAGTCCAGCACTGTGGCCGATTTATTCCAGTGCCCCGAATGGCACAAAATCTCGTTCGCTGCCGAACCGCTCTTGTCATTAGCCGTAATGCTCATTTCCGGCAAAGAGTTGCTCATTTTAATTAGCTGCACGGCATCGGGCAGAGATCCGGAGAAAGTTGCGGAAAAAGTGGTGAAAGGCTGCGGGAAAGGATACCCACCTGCGGTGGGATATTTTGTTTATGCGGAAACTTGAACAAAATATGAAAATTAGCCGCAGGCAGGCAGTCGTACTCGCTGCGAAGCAAAGTCTTTGGCTCCGTTTTACAACTCACTAATGCTAATTGTAAATGGAATTAGTGCAGATTAGCGGGAGCATTTTTAGAGGTCCTCGAAGGCAAGGACGATTACCATTTGTGTTCGCTCTTCGTTTGCCGAGCTGTTTGTGGAAAATCCTTTTGTGTGCCTCCGGGGATTTCCCCCGGCCTTTTGGCCGTACACTCACACTAGCATTTAAGCCGAAACTCGTGTGGCCCCGATTTAATTTTGTCATTCTATGGTGTTGGTGGCGCGGATCGATGTCGTAAGCTGTTGCTCAAACTTAAAAGTCAATTGTATTTATTTATGGTATTTGCATAAGCCGGGACCGCCAAACTTAATTAAAAAGCGTAAGCTGACTTTTATTAATTTTGCTAATCTGCCTTGTAGCCCATGAATAAATTTGCAAACATTCACCGAGAAAGAAAAACAAAACAAAACAATAACGTAACGTAACGAAAACAGAGGCGAAATCCGGCCGGCGAGCGCATTTCATAAATAATTCTTTCCACTTGACTAATGAAAATATTTAACTCGGCTGTTTGCATAAGCCGTAGCGAGAAAACCAGACCGAAACGGCACGAAAACGGCAGGAAAACGGGAGAAAACGGACGAAGATTGCGCCATGTTAAGGTTTCGACAAATACACGGCGTATACGCAATATGCGCAAAACCGAAAGTCAAACAAGTGTCTTGCTCAGCAACTTTCCGAACAAGTTGCTCAACAAGTCGGCGGGGTGAGTCAATTAATTCCTGAAGACTATATGGTTGGGCATCGGTGGGGGCGAAAATCCAAATAGAATTTACTGCGCAAAGTTAAAAAATGTGAAATAAAAAAGTAAAAAGCGAATCCATAGCTCCCAGTCGAATACTTTGTGCGGTGGACGGGGGTGTGTCGACCAGGAAAATACCATGAAAAGTGTGTAAATAGAGACTTTATTTTGTATTTCGTATTCGTATTTTTCATTTTCCATTTTCCATTTTCCATTTCTCATTTTATTTTTGCATTCGCATGCTTTCACACAGACCCATCCGGGCAACTTTATTCTGTTGCCTCGCTTTGGCTCCGAAGAGATTAAAATTTTATCTGACGCATAAATTAAACAAATAACTTACCGGTGCGTTGTTGTGTGCGAATTTTGCGTGTCCCAAAAGCAGCAGAAGCACAGAAGCAGCAGCACAGGTGAGATTTGGGATTTATAATGTGCGCTCACGTAATTGACGTTGTTAAATATTTGGATTTCGTTTTTCGTCCTCAAATGACCCGACTCTCAGTTTATCTCTTGTCCTTGGGCCTGATTTTCTTCTTTTTTTTGGCAGAGCGAGTGACGTGCTGGAATTAGCCACATTTGCTCAGCGACTTTAAAATGTTGATTCCTATCATCAGCAGTAGTTGCTCCGGAAAATTCATTAAACTTTGAGCGATTAGCTAAAGCCCTAGCCAAGCGATTTTCTTGGTTTTCCCTCGCAAATCCACACAGCCAGCTCACTCGGCCACTTGGCCAAGTTTGAAGTTCGAAGCACTGGCTCAAATACATAGCCGTAATGAAAAATGAAGCGCCAAAGTTTTTGTGAGCCGCAGACTTTACGCGAATTTGCAAGGGGTGCGACTTTGTCAACACTTTTGGCGGCCATCGATTTTGAAAGGGAGTCGTCTTCTGGTCGACACTTTTGCAGTGGAAAACTGGTACCCTGGATATGCAGGTATGCAGGCCACGTCATTCTGGATTCTTTGGCGTGTTCGTGGGCCAGCCATTAACACTTGGCAAAAGGTTCTCGCAACGCTTTTGTGCTGCTTGTGCGGCGCACAAATTGCTGGCGGGCGGGACACTCGTTGTTGCAACTTGTGCAGCGCTTAATTTCTTTGCATTTTGTTGTCGTTGTCAGTTGGAAAAGTGAGAGCTGCGCCTATCCCAGCACGGTGATGATGGCGATGATGGTGGTGATGGTGCTGACTTTGCCGCCGGCGGGTTTTCCACTTCATCCACTTTGCCTGCGCACTGCGTGCACTTTTTGCCTGTCACATTTGTGTCGCAAACAGGAAGAGGTGGTACGTGGGTGGCACGTGGGTGGCACGTGGGTGGCTGTCAGTCAGTGGGTCTTACGGCCGGTGGGACAGTTGGTCGCTGCGAGCGTTGCAAGCAGTGGAAAAATGTGCCACACAAAATCAACGCGCACAAGAAAATGAAATGAAAGTTGTACTAGGCGAACGTAGAGCGGAAACGGAAATCAGTGGCAGTGCCACAGACGAAGGGCGGTGTGGCGGGAAAGTGGGCGAATAAAAAAATATGCCAAGGACAGTATTGCAAAAAGTATTTGCACAAAGCGAAAGACTTGCAAAGAACTCAAGCGCAACCGAATGGAGCCAAAAGCGAGGCGTAAAATTGAAAAGCGCTTCGGCAAACAAGTGATGGCGATGGTGAGGATGAGGATGGTGGGCTGAGATGGCCACGTTAAGATGGGCCATGGCCGTGATGATGACGATAAAGACGGCAATGAAGATGACGATGGCGAAGGCGATGGCGATGACCACCGATGATGACCACTGGTGGGGCAGCAAAACAAGCGGAAGAACGCTGGCGCGCTTTGAAGTCCGTTCCACGGGGATTTCTCTTGGCTCCTTGGCCAATTTATTACGCAGCTTTTGGCTCACAAGGATTCTTACCTATTTATTGCCCGCCTTTCCAGCCATCCAGCCAACCAGCCAACCAGCCGTCCAACCATCCATTCCACGAGCAATGAACTTTTGTTTCAAAGTCAAATTGTTTTGCATTATTTCGCGCAGCGCAGCCAAGTGGCGAGCAGTGTCAAGCGGTCTCCTCCTCACCAAAGGCAGCTGCCGTTGGGCAAATAGTTTTCCAAAACGCCGCTGCAGCTCCGCCGCCTGGTTTTCTGCACTCCAAGTGCCCTCGACAAATTTGCTTAGTTTTTTCGGTGAATGCGCCGCTTCTCTCGCGGCGAAAAGGCTCGGACGTCATTCGTTGATTTAGAAGAGTCCGTTGGCTCGCAGTTGAGTTAAGGGAGCAACTTTCGAGGGGCACCCAAGATGCATATCCTTATCCGCATCCTTGTGCGCCCCAAGCGCTGAACTTTGCTGTTTACCTAATTTTTAATGAAATTTCTAATAACATTTTATGGCTTAGTGGAGGGCGTAGAGCCGTTGGCGGCTTTAATTTGACTCGCTTCGTTTATGCTCGCTTGCTCCTTTTTTTCCGCCCGTTCCTCAATTATTAATAGAATTTTTTCCGCGTACGCACTTTAGTATTTTTGAAATTTTAATAACATGATGCCTTTTATTGCGCTCCGGCCTGGATCCTGGAGCAAGCAGAGAAAGGTCCTTTGTCAGCTGAACAGCGGGCGGCGAACTGCCTTTGTCTGTGACTCGCGAAATATCAAAATGACAATTTACGTACATTTGCTAACATTTATTTTGCAAAGCCCTGGCACACAGATACTTGTTCTTATTCTCATTCGGATTCAGATTCAGATTCAGTATCTGCAGATGATGGGGACAGTGGGGGCGCTGGCACATTGTTCATGGCTTTCAATCTCCTCCATTCGCAGATATTACATGGAACGCAAGATCTTCCAGCATCTGCTGGAGCTCAAGTCGCTGCAGATTCGCTCCAGTAAGCTGAACGAGGCGGTGCTGGTGAAGCGGGCGGTGGATGACTACCACAAGTCCTGCGTCCTTTTGGGCGGCGAAACGGGCACGCGACTCCGGCGCTACAACTTCAGCGAGTACACGTTCAAGAACTTCGAGCTCTTCCTGTACGAGACGCTTAAAGGACTCCAGCGTCCCGGCACCAACAACTTCCAGAACATCAACGAGGTGTACGAGGAGGTGGGTCGCTGATTAAGTGCCGCTCATCCAGCTGCCTCATCCAAATCCATCCCCTTTTCAGGCGGAGCGCCGACTCAGTCCGGATTACAATGCCTACGAGAAGGCGCTGCAGTGCACCACCAAGACGCACCGATGTCTCCATGCGGCCCACGCCTACACGGGAATACCTTGTGCCGCCTACAGTAAGTAGTCCATTTGAGAGCTCCTTGAAAAATAAAATCTTGGCTTATTTAAGACTTCAAAACCGAACGATGCTAGCTGTCTAAAAAAGCCTTTCTTGTAAAAACCATTTTTAAACCAATGCTGCAATTAGAAAAGCTTTATTTTATTTATTTTCAATCAATTTATTATACACATACCATCAGTAACTATAATATTTTGTAGCCAAATAGCTTTCGTTGTAAATTTCCAATAACATATCGGTGTAATTAACTTATGGATTAGTAAACATAGCAGGGAGATAAAAAGTGTTTATATAGCAGCATGCATTTTACGTAAAAGCCATACAATCGGCTTTATTTCGATTGGTAAAAAATGTAGCATTGACAGCCCAGCACTGACAAATTAATTAAAGAGCCGGAATATTTTTGTTTTCGGCCTTAAACTTTTGCCTTTGCTGCCGCTTCTTGCTGCTCCGATTTGCTAGAGGGCTTTAAGCGGCTCTGTGCAAGCGTGAAAAATAGCACCAGACAGGCTTTGGCCGGGCCAAAGAGTCAAATCGCCTGGCCAGCGGGTTGGCAACACTTTCGCCGGAAAAAAGAGTGGGTCAAGCGGACAATCGGACACTCGTATTCAAAGCATCTACTTGGTCGGCTGCTGGGCATAAAAATATAAATCCTAATTACGAGCAGTTTATTCGGCGCGGGGCAAATTAAAAAAGTGTTCTCGACCCGGCTTTCTGGATTTCTGGCTGTCTGGCTCTCTGGCTCTCTGGCTTTTGCCGCTTTTTCTGCTTTTATTACGTCTTCACTTGCCTGCTCCACTGCTGCTGCTGGAGCGGATTGCTCAAAAGGATGCGTCGGGCTTATCCCAAATTAAAAACGCATTTATTTTACCGACTCGCAACCGCTTTCATTAACGTGCCCTTGTTTATGCACAGTTATTTTGCTGAAAGTAGCCATGCTAATCCCGCCGAGATGGCACCCGAAAAATGGGTTACCAGGAAGCAGCGCCATTTCTTATTACCAGTTGTTTTTGCCCATGCAATTTAGCTGAGTGTTGCACCTGCAGGACACCTGCCAGGTGCTGGCAGTCCATTGTACTCGTAGTTCGCAGCGATCATCAACTGGAATCATTAATCTAATGCGTGTCACCGGTTCTTTGCATTGCAGTTCCCATGATGAATCACCACACGATGCCAAAGTTCGGCTTTGGACCCTACAAGAAGACGGGCAGCGTGAGCAGCTTCTTCCTGCCCAAGATCCTGACCAGCGGCCGCGCCTCCAGCGGCAGGGTGGGCGGCTTGGGCAGTGCCAGCGCCGGCCGCTGTAACCACAAGGTGGCGCTGGAGCTGTCGCACGGCAAGAACAAGCAGCTAATTTCACTGCCCGCGGAAAAGCTGGACAGCAACAAACGATATTACGTCACGTTCACGGTGAAGGACTCCTCGGGGCCGTCGGCGCACCAGCAGCAGCAGCAGCAGTGCGGCAATTCCGCGGGCGGCAAGTAGCGGGCGCACTTCACAGGCGAATGCGTATACGTAATGTGGCGCACGGTGCGTATACGCCATCGGCCATCGTCGCGGGATCCTGCGCCCGCATCTACGGGCTGCATGGGCTGTCGCTGGTGGTGCCACTGCTGCTGCTCCAAGTGCATTAAAACAATGCCAACGCAACATTTTGTGTCGCTGCTCCCGCCGTTGTTGCTGCCATTGTTGTGGCCACCCGCGTTGCCTTTTTTCCATGCGCTTCCTGTCCTGCTGCTGTAGTAATGCCACGGAAAATGGGAATTTCTGCAGGCTGTATAGCGCACCGATACCTATTAGTTTGGCATACTCAAAGCTTTTCAGCACTTGACAATTCTTCGGTTTTTTAAAAGGAGTTTGAGCAGGAATTAATCTAAATTGTAGCTTTCATTGCTTGCTGCTCATTGGTAATTCGAGCTGATAACAGGGTATTTGGCTGTCCAGCCAATAGCCCTGAGCACCGCTGTTGTTTCTGCCGCTGCACTTTAAGATGGCCAACTGCTGATAATGGATGATGGCGCTGCTCTGCGGCTGTCAGTTGAAGTTGTCACGCCAGCAGCGATGCAGCGGGAAAAGCAACAGCAGAAGCAGAAGCACCAGCAATTGCTAAGGCAACGGCAGCTTAAATTATGTGGTCCTCCAACCCCGGACAGTTCAGATGTTCAGTTGTTCAGTTGCTCAGTTGCTCAGTTGTTCAGTTGTTCAGTTGTTCAGTTGTTCAGTTGTTCAGTTGTTCAGTTGTTCAGTTGCTCAGTTGCTCAGTTGCTCAGTTGCGCAGTTGTTCAGTTGTTGGGTTGCTCAGTTGTCGGGTTGTTCAGCTCCGCGCCGCGTTGTTTGCCTGTAGCTCGTATTCTTTTTCGCCGTCCGTTTGTTTGTTTGTCCGTTTGTTTGTCCGTTGGCACTGCCGCTGCGCTTTTATTTCAGTTTTTCATTATCATTTTTTGTCGCAGTCGCTGGGTCCTGTTGTTCGGGGAGTGGAGGGGGAGCTGGCATGCTCCTAATGCCGCAGATAAGCGTTGTTATTAACGCTCGGCTTACCAGGACTAGGAGACAGGCGTGAGGACATGCCACCCATCGTCGCTTTTGTCCACAGAAAGGACATGCAGGCGGTGGGGCAGCTGGGGGAGCAAGAGGAGCAGGAGGAGCGGCAGGAGCAGGAGCAGGAGCAACAGCAGGAGAGCAACAGCAGAAGCTAAAGCAGATTCAGAATCAGCGAATGAATAAATGTAAAATATGTACCGTGCATTTCTTTGGCATTTCAACATTTTTACTTTATTTGCAATTTTATTTACTTGTCTGCTTCTGCGCTCCTCCCCCTCCTCCCAACCCATTTTTCCATACCATCCATAGCATCGCAGCCAGCCAAGCCATTCAAGCCGTTGTTTGTTTGTTTGCTTACTTGGCGCTGAGTGCATTGTAAATGGAGAATAATTGCATTGCATACAAAAAGCGTCGCGATTTTTAAATTGTATAAGCGAACAGGAGCAGCAGCAGCAGCAGCAGCAGCAGCACAGGAGCATCAGCAACACAGCAGAGACAGCAGAGACAGCAGCAGCAACGTGCGCCGTAAAATGATTTCTTTAAATATCAAATTATAAGAGCGGAATGCATAATAAATTCCGCACTTGAAGAGCTCTCGTTTCGCGTAGACCTAAGGCAGCAGTTGCAAAATAAACGTTGAAAATGTCCAAATGGAGGCGGCAGTTTCAGTATCGCCACACGTGGCCGTAGTCAAAACAATGTCAAAAAACCTACTCCAGCCCCCAAGCCACCAAACCACCAAACCACCAACCCACCCACTCAACCACCCACTCGTCCTTGGCATAGATGCGAAAAGCTGGCTGATTGCTCGCTTCGCAGGCGCCGGTATCATTATTTCAGCATCTGGCGAAAGGACGACGAGGACGACGACTGCCGCTGACAAAAGGATGAGGCTGGCAAAAAGGAAAACATTTTTACGGCATTCTCGGCATTTTGGCAGCCACCTTCACTCCTTCCCTTTTGGGTTTTTGCTTGTAAAACTGGATGGCATTCTTATGGCTGCCATGAATGTCAGTCGCTGGAAGTGCAGCTGTCAGCCAGCCAGCGATCGCAATAATCACCGGGCTCAATCGAAGCCATTATGAGTGAGGGCAACCATTTGGCCAATCGGCCATCCGACTGCTAATTGAATTCCAAACGGGCCCGTGCAGTTGCCTCCAGTTTCCGTTGGCCAGGCTGACTGCCAAAAAGTAGAGATGACCACTGGCGGAGAAGTGGCTAGATCAAGGGTTGTAATGGGTCGAATTTGAGGAATAAAAAACGAAGAGTACGCCTTTTATTACCGCATCAGATTGATAAAGCATATTTAGTAGCTAATTTCAAGTGGTTTTTATATCGCATGCATTCGTTCAATTTAATTGAACTTCAAGTCCATCAAGCCATTGACCCGTCTAAGCCATTTTTAATAGGCCATCAGACATTTCGATAACAGCCAGACAGTCAGACGCAGACCCCTGAAAAATCCCAGTTTGACCAATTTATGGCTGAAGAGGAACCGCCTTTTGGGGGCTTTAATATTTCAGCAGTCCTGTCCGGACTAAGTGCGCCTCCGTGAGTGGTGACAGGCTATTTTGAATGGCCAGGACTCGGACATCCAGGGGCGTCGTTTAATTTATTTAAGCACGCTGCGGCTAAGGAGTCACTCCGGCCTTCGAGAAATAAAAGAGCAGCGACTGAATCACAGGAAGTGGGGCAACTGACCCTGGACCCTGGATTTCATTTCGATTTGCGCACTTGCCAGCAAATCTTCGGATTTATGTGGCTTTATTTTTAGTCCAAGTGCTGCAAAGTGCGTTTGGGCCGGCTGAATGGAAAGGGGCGTTGAGGTGGAAACTTAAAATTCCTGGCAATTGCCGAGGAAGCTGCAACGAAAGCGCTTGCCAGCAAATGAAAACGCCATAAAATTGACAACAACAGCAATGGCGAAGGTGAGTTGGAAAGTAGAGTGAAAAGTAAATCCGCACGTGCCAACCCAAATTACGGGGAATACTTCAGCAGGGGATTGGAAATGCGAGACCACAATGCAGATACCAGCAAAAGTGTGTCCTGGCGTTCATGGGGCAAGCTGGGTACGGTGTTCCATTACCAATCGATTTACCTAATTCGATTCGAGTCCGGTGTGGTATTCAAGTTGGAGCAGCTAAAACTATGCAACCAATTGCGAGGAACGAGCATGAATTCTGCCAAACTTTTTATTGCAAAATGTTTTCGGCACACATGGCAACCCAAAAAGTACCCATTTTAGGGCAGTCTCCTACTAAATGCCAACGAATATATTTAAAACATTTTAAGTAGCTTGCGGTGAGTGTTTCATTACCAATCGATTTACCTACTTAGTTGTAGTCCAAGTTTGCGCTCTGAAAAGTATGCAACAAATTACGACAAACAGACTTGCATTCGCAGAAAGTTTCCTTGGCAAACTTTACCTTCATGGGCGCTGGTGTTGGCCCACGCGCTGCAAATTTGCCTCCAACTGTTTTAATCTCCTGTGCATGCCAAGGCTGCCCAGATGGGCCAATCCTTCAGCCCACCCACCAACCCACCAGCCTTCGTGCCCCTTAAGCTTAACAGCCTTAATTCGAATCCACGGCTTTTGGGGCGGCGAGCTTCGTGTTTGGCTTTGGGGCAGAGGGTGTGGCATTGGGGATTGGCAAAGGAAAAGGAATCCGAGGGCAAAGGATACTGATGGGCTTGGGCAAAGTAATGAAGGCGGCTCCATTGACCGACCGCCTTGCCGATGTTTCGATTACGCGCCTCAAGTGGCAATCAGGCTGCATCCGCGTCTGCAGCGCCGCAGGATTTGCTCCGCATTAATAACACTTAACCCCTGGCCAAACCAAACCCAAGTTGGGCAAACAGGACGCGGATTCTGGTGGACCAAGTCGCGGCGGCATTAATCTTCGCTTTGATGTGCGAGTCGGCGTTTTAATTGGAATTGATTTGAAAGGGCCAGCTGAATTTGGTTTGAATCTTGTTTATTTATTCAGTATTCAGTATTATTAACACACTCAGTAGTTTCGACTTAGTTATTAATGTATTTCACTTTTAAGTTTGCGCTCTCGTACGCATTTAAATTTAATTTATTTATAAATCTAACTTCGCTTAAAACAATCAGTTTGGTTTTGTCCAGAGTGACAGAGACAGAGAACGACATTCGGGGGCACACGGAAGGTTTGCCCCCTCTGTTTCCATTTGTATGCATCTATATATGTGTATATATTTCAATTTATTTTATTACGCATACGCACTGTATATTTTGCTAGTCTGCCATTTCACTTTATGTTTGTATATTTGAAATTAGAATTCGAATTACATTGGAGTATTGTGTAAAGTGTATGGCGTATTATTATTATTATTATTATTATTATTATTTTTATGTCGTACTTTGCTCGGTTACTTTAGTTATTTATAACATTTACACTGAATTCGCATTTATTGTTTGACTTCGAGTTTGTGTTGTAGTTTGAATGTGGGAGTCTTGTGTGAGTGGAATTGCTGAGGACCCTGGGAATTGGCTGTTCACTCGACATTTATTCATTATGCACTCGAGCACGGCCCACTGGGCTGTTGTTTGTGTGTTTTTTCGGCTGTTATTCATCTTTGGCCGTCGGTTCGGCTTACTGGGGTAATAGAATATTCATGGAATTGCCATAAATAGCGACTGAAAGTGCCGGATCAGGGCGGAAAGGGTGGGCCGAGGGCCCAGAATAGCTGCTAGCTGCTATTAAATGGAAACATTTCAATATTTCAGTGATCGGACAGCAACAGGATGGGACAGACTGGAACTTTAGCTAATGAATCCTATATGGCTATGCAGACATTAATGGATAAGTGGCCAGATACTTGCACACATCCGAGGCAGATACCTGGTGCAAAGTCCGTTGGCCAATAACTCTTTGCTGGCTCTATGAGTCTAATTACACTTTCAATACACACGGCTTGCTTACTACTACTGGCTTACGGGCTAGTTGTTCATTAATTACAATTAATATTTAACATTTAAATGCAGTTTGATTAATGTTTGCCCGTTCTCTATGTACAGTCGATGGTGCAACAGCAAAATGAGTGTGTGTTGTGAAGTGAGTGGTGGTATTTACATGTTTCGTACTTTTGATTTCAGTTACAAGTTTGTAGCGTATTTATAGCGCAGCTTCTGGTTTCTATATTTATGCTCGTATTTTTTGCATTTTGATTTTGCATCCGCCTTCAGCGGTTTCAGTGACACTTAATGGCTGACAATTACAAAATGGTTTTGTAAATCCTTATCTATTTGCCTTTCCGCTTAAACGTTACGCAACACGATTTACCTTTACGCTAATGCATTTAAATTTATGCTAAAAATTTACAGCTATGTTTAATGAAATGCCCGTGAATTATGACGCCTCACCGCGAGCGAGTCTGCGTGTGTGTGTGTGTGCCTATGTGTGTGTGTGTGGATATTTATTATTACTTTTTACAATTACTTCAGCGTTGGATCCAGGGTCGTAAATTCCAATTCGCCGCGCGGCAATATCAGATCCGGGTCTGCAATATACACTTTGGTTGGTTGGTATAAAACAAAGTCAACAACAATGGCATATGTGTAGAGGATGTGGGTGTGTGGGTGTGTGGGTGAGACATAAATTCATGTGGGAGTGAGTAATGAGTTGGTGTGTGGGTGTGTGGGTGTGTAGGTGTGGGTGTAACCGGGAATAGAGAGACAAAGGCAAAATGTTTATACCGATTAGTTTGGTTTGGCTTGTTTGGTTGATTTGATTTGGCTTGGTTGCTTTCTATTGCTTTTCAGATTCACAACACTTGCAAAATGACATCATAACACAGAGTTGCAAATTATTATTTGAGAGGCGAAAAGAAAAAGAGAGCCATTAGCAAATACGTAGCGAAAGCGTGACCAATTGTGCGCTGATAACAAAATAATATAGCATCTAATAAAACGCCACAACAACAGCAACAGAAACAGCAACAGAAATCACAAGAGATAACAAGAAACATCCACATCAACAACATTTCGATATAAATATTCACTTTATTTCATGGGGAGCTGCTCCCCATTGGCCCTTCCGCTCGTAAACGTAAAATAATTCAACAATTTCTTAATTTTTATGGCACTTTTCGCCGGAATTCTGAGTCTGGGTTTTCTTTTTTATTGTGGTCCGCCTTATTGTGTCGGCCGGGCGAATCAAGTGAATCAAGTGAATCTTGAGCGTCATCTAGCGCTTGTTGTTTACGATTTTGCAGTTTGCTATTTGACGTGGCTCGGCCCAGCACACTGTGATATTTTATTATTATCGCCTTTTATGTCACATTTGTGTGGCGTCTTTGGGCCATAAAGGCGCACAAACTAAGGCAGCTCTCTGGAGCTTCTACGTGTGCGTGTGTGCGTTTACTTGGGAGGCTGTGGCTATGGCCTTTCACGTTTACTTTCACGCCATGGCTGACAGCATTAAAAAATGTCAAAAGTCGCAAAAATGTTGCCGGCCTGGATGGCCCAACAAAAAGCGGAAAAACCTACTAAAGGGAATGGTGCCAGGGCGGGAAAGTGAGAGGGGGTGGGGCAGCGGAAACGGAAGTGCGGCGACAAATGAATGAACAGCGCTGACATTGAGCATTCCGGACGGCGAGTGCGTGTGTGCACAAAAAGAAATTTTTATTAAACAGAATGGGGAATCAAAAATAATAATCAACCCACAAGTTGCTTGCAAACAGTGGCGTTGAATTAAGGATGACATTAATTAAGGCCTATGTTGCACGCACATTTTTTCAAATTCCCAGAAGCACTAAGACTTCAAACGCATTCCCCTGGATTGTCTTAATCCTTTTGAAGATCATGCGACTTTGAGGGCACTATAGGTAGTAGGTAACTCGTTGGCAGTTAATTGAGAGTTATTTCTTGCTGTGTAAGGCCGCTGCTGCCGCATAAACAATGTTGCTCAGGCAAATTCTGCGGCATTTTTTGTGGCACGACAGAGACATCAAAGTGAGAGCTCGCAGACCGACACACACATATACACATGTGCTTTAAGGAGTCTTTAAGATAATGCCACCATGCCATCCCATCACATAGCCGCAGCAAATGGCGCCGTGTGCTCATTTCGAGTGGCTGCTGTGTGGCTGGGTCTCAACTTTGTCTAATTAGACGAGTGCCGCTGGAGTGCACATGGAACCTACAAGCTACAAGCTACAACCTACAACCTAGCAGATACAGCCGACAACCCACAATCTGGCATCTGCAACCCACTCGCATTACTTACAATCCAAATACGCATAGAAAAAGCCGGGCCAGCAAGGACGAAGGCCACACAAACGTGGCTCAGACATTCGCGACTCTTGACTCACACAAGCAGCAAGACAAACAGCAACAATGAGACAAAAACGCGCTGCTGGGCCAAATGAATGGAGCAGCATGAAATGAAACAAATGTGCACAAAAAAGCGGCAGTTCCAACTCATTCCATCATCACCACCATACGCAGATCTGGCTGGGGGCACAAAAAGCCAAACGAATTTGACTGCTCTGGGGGATTCGCCCTTCGTTGCTCGGTGCCAGTGCCACCTGTACGGTGGAGCCAGCGGGACTGGCATATGCAATTAAAAATGCTGGCTAATGACAGCAACTGCCGAGTTGTAAAGATGCGAATGGGTGTCTTTTGCTGGCCGTGAGTTGGTACACATATGCATATACTCACTTGTTTGCCTTGAGTTACGGCGCTGTAAGCGTTTTGCTCTTTCCAGGACCTTTTTATTTCAATTTGACAGCGCTGCGTATGGATTCCCGGGCAGCCCCAACGCAACACTGTTCTCTTAAGCGAAATAGTAGGTAACTAGCATTGAATTATAGGAAACTATTGGCTCACAAACTAAATAAGGAAAATCAAAACAGTGAAACACAGCATTAAGACGATCTTGATCAGAGCTAAAAACTCTATTTGGCCTTGTGTCCCCGTTCTAATAAAAATCTCGATGAAAACTAATAGATTTCTGCCCAATCAGTATTCGAGGGCATCGCTTAAGCTGCTTTGCAGCTCAGTGTAATCCCAGCGAAGAGAGTTCCCAAACTGTGTGTTTCTCGTTGGCATCCGGGCGCAACAGCTACAAGAAAATTTTCTGGACCGCCCCTTTGGCGCACTTCAGCCCGACTTTGGCACTTGTTAGTGCCATGTAAGCCAGTTGACTTGCTTTACGTTCTGCCGGGTGAAAGGGCAGCACTGGGGCGGGAGTTGCGAGTGTGGGTGAGTCGTGTCATGTCACATGCCCCACCGACCCCCGGCGCACATAAATTAAACAGGCTGGCAGGGGGTAGTGCAAAAAAAAAAAGGAAAAAAGGCAAATAAAAAGCGATGATATTAACGAGCGGAAGGACATGCTGAAAGTAATGAAAATATAAAATTAAATCGCTGACAAAATCAAATTTAGCTAATTTGCGACATTTGAGCCCACGCATCGGGTGCCAAGAGAATCGGGGAAGGGGCGATGATGTTGTGTTAGCAATAATATCACGTATACGACACATCTGCCCATTAAATAATATTTGCATTTGCCGGCATGTCGGCACGTCAGGCGCAGGCAGAACTCACTGGTGTTTGTGTGCCTTTGTGCTTATTTTTGTGTTTTAATTTAGTGCTTTCGAAATAATTAAAATTTATGCAATTCAAAGTTAAAACAAAGTCTGCACGAGCTGGCACAGCAAACAGACTGAACTGGGCGTAAAGTGGGTGGGAGTGGGCGAAACGGGTTAAAACAGCAAAATATTTTGCAAATTTGTTGCTGTCTGAGGCATGTTTACGCACATAGTACACATGTTTGTTTGCCAGTGCGTCGACTGCGCTCTGAAATTTATGCGATTTATCCCAAAAGAACTTGGCACTGCACTGAGTGATACATGAGCGACATGGAGTGTGGAGAACCCACATACATAGCTGCTAGTGAGGAAAATAAACAGGAATGTCAACAAAAAAACAAAGTCTAAGCAAACAGCCTCATGTGCCCGGACTTCCCCGATGCATTTATCCTTTTTTAAAACAATATTTGCCTGCACTCTCCAATGCGCCAGTCTAATGTGTATGTAGCCTTGAATTGCTGGGGAAAGAAAAAGCTCATATGCTCCAATTAGCTCGGATTTAATATCTCTGATCCATTCGACAGAAAAGCTATCTCCGCTGCATCAAAACCGAGTTAGCAATCGCATCAAAGGAAATCATACGGAATGCCGCAAATGAAAGGAAATTTTTTGGATATTTTTTGCGGCATTTGCCTGGCAACAAAGCCAAGCTAAAATAATTACAAATGCACAAAGGGAATAAAGGAAATCAGATGAAAGACATGTGAGTGCAGGGATGTGGCAACGTAACAAGCAAAGTAAATTGGGATGCCAAATGGACGACAAATTAAAATGTGAAATGGAGCAAGTACTGTAGCAATGTTCTCGGGTACGGGGATATTAAAAATACTTGAGAGGCGAACTTGAACGTCCCCTGCATTCTACATCTCCAACTGCCAGATTCGACAGAGAATTTTTGGTTCAGACATGGCTGCCCATCTGCTGCAGTTGCAGCTGCAGCTGTTCCTGTTTCAGCTTCAGTTTCAGTATCTGTATCTGTGTCTGTTTCGGTTTAGGTTTCGGATTCGGATTCGGTTTCTGGCTTGGGTTGTGTCGTTCGACCTGCTGCACGGATTTAGTTACATAAAATTTACTTTGCATACATTCGGGCGGCCAGGCAGTGTGTCGGCCCGCAGGATCAGGACATAGTTTCGCCTGGGGCATGGCCAGGACCACGCTCGAGATGGTGGAGTTAGTGCTGCAAGGCTGGCTGGATGTAACGAGCAGGGGCAGCAGCACGTCGCCTGGGTGGATGGATAACATGGTATAGAGTTAGGAGTTAGGACTCTCGCAAGGACAACTCGGCGAATGTACAACGCTCGTACTCGGTTACTTGTGGAGAGTGGGGGCTTACTACATTGCTTTAAATACTGGGCAAGGTATTTACAACTTCAAGTCGAGGATTAAGACAGTTGGAAAGCAAGTGGATAGTGTTTCGCTACCTACGGAGTTGGTTAGATTCAGAGACAGGGAAGTGAGGACAGAGCAAGAGTCAGAGATATAGAAATAGTGAGGGGGGGTACTATGGCTAGGTCAGGCGGGAACTTAGTGGAGGTGTGGTCTATGTCGGGTGCCCGGCTAATGCGAAATACCTTCCAAACACTCGACTCTAAAGGCTTCGGTCGCTCAACTCATTCGAAATCGAAATCGAAATCAAATTGAAAGCGAATCAACGCAAATGTAACGAAATTAAATACTTTGATCTGCGCTAATTGGAAGAGAGTATACTCGAATGCCATAAGCTACTTTTGTGAATGCCAAATGGGGCAATTAGTTTTTCATTTACATGTGCTCCAATTCATTAGTTGCCAGCCAATTTAGTGTTCAACCGCATCATTAGCGCCAGCTCAAGCCAACCTAATTGTTTTGCCTGTGGTGCGTTGATCTCCGGCGCGTCCAGCACGCAAACTACTCACATGCCGGATACTTAACTAAATATTAAATAGCAAATCAATTACGGCGCAATCATAAAATATTAAAAACAATGTGCGTCTTGTTAAGTGAGCTGCCGGCTTAAAAACAAATTCGTGTTCGTGTGCATTCCAAAACGAGTTTGACATTTATTCGCTTTGCATTGCTTTACTGAAAACAAGATGTTAAACTAATCTACATAATGTAATCTACAAATCAGGTGAGTAATGTGTACTAAATATATACAGGCAAGTGCACTTCTACATAACGCAAATCAATCAACTAAGGCTACGAATACAAATACAAATTAATATCCAGAGCGCACTCGAGTCGCAACTCAAAAGTTCTTGAGCAAAACCAACTGGGGATGCAATCACAATGGCAATCGCAGTCTCAAAGCACGGATGCATAGATACAAGGATAAATTGATGACTACTTGACTAGGACTACGGATAAATAACTACGTACTACATGTACTACATACTACAGCTTGTTGAGTATAGATTTTGGAATAGTACCGTTTAGGCTGGGCTGCGCGTACTGAATGAAGCTCTCGGAGATGTAGTGGTGGGGTCCGGCCACGCCCACAATGGCCCCGCCACTTGACCCCACGCCGCCGGGCATCGGCATGCCGCCGCCACCGCACAGGTGCGAGTTGGGCGGGGCCACCCGCGCCCTAATCTCCGCCGCCCGGCCGCCGCCCTCCTCCAGCTCGTTCAGCTCGTCCTCCTCGATGTACATGCTCGGCACATCGTTCCTGGCCGGCCTAAAAAATGGAGAAGAATGCAAAAAATCAGACATTGAAAAATACACGGCATGAAAAAGTTGGACTGCTAATAGTTCCCAAGGCGCGGCGAAACAGCTTAGCAAACTGGACAAACTAAGCCAGCTGCCGGCTCTCAGGCGACTCGAATTTCAATATAAACAGCAATCACCTGGGGAACGGATGGGTGAACTTTTTGAGTGGGTGGTGGTTGGGCTGGGAAAACCAGGATGCTGCGCTGCACACGGCGGATGCGCAATATTCGCGTTTTGCGCCCTTCCAAAGCGGATTTAATGCGCGTTTCGCTATCGACTCGGCACTCGCATTGATAAATATTGGCAAAAATATTACCATTTCTCCTGAGGACCCTCGAATTTTCATCAGCCTGCTCGATGGTCCATTGTAAATTAAATATAAGCCAATGCCGACGGTGGAGCTTATTACGCCGCACTCGGCATCTGCGTCTCTCTTATCAGTCAGATATGCAGATATGCGGCCATGTGTGCATCAAATATTTGCGCTAATACTTTGCCGCAAAAGGCAAATCATTAAAATTTATGCATAGACGCACATGCGACTGAAAAAGGGGGTGGTCACCACCATGTCCACCACGTCCAAATGTGAAGAGGGGCGGAGGACGGAGGCGCAGGTGGGCCCGTTTTATTTATGCACGCCATGGAGCGCGTTTGACAGTTGTGATGACCATTTAATGACCCGCATGCGATTCGCTTTGATGTGCCCGCGACTATTTTCAGCAACTATAATTAATATTTCGTTGGGTTCTGCTTTGAAGTGGTTGCCCGAATTCATTATTGGGCAATCAGTGGGCCGGCCCGAAATCAAAGAAAGGAGGATACCATCGACGCTGGACCTGTACCACGTCGATACGAAGGCTAGGAGGCGGTACTCTGTGTTTATTTTTCATTAGCCAGCAGGCGGGCGAAAGTGGGTGGCAAGGACGAGTTCATCAGCTAAGCAGCTGCTTAATTATCCACCCACGGGGCGCGACCCTTTCGCAGATACAGCGCTGATTTCCTATCTTAAATGGAAACTCTAACTTGTGCGGCTGCCTCGTTTCCGGAGTCCGGAGTCCGGAGTGCGGACCTCGTTTACGGCCATTCTTTTCCGTTGGACTTTGACCCTGTTGGGCTGCCGGCCGGTCGTCAGGTGCAGGTTTAATTAATTTAATTACAGACTAAGCATAATTTACTGGGCAGGTGCGTGCTCGGCTCTAATCGATTGGCGGCCTCAAAGTGCTTAGGCGATCGCCTTAATGAACCCGACATTTACCATCAGGTCTAGAATTGGCCAATTTAACCTTTCTGCAGGCAGGTGAGTTTAAAGTGGGGCCCCATTGATTGAGCGGCCATTTTTGCGCGGCTGTCATTTAATTAGTTTCTGCGTAATAGTCATAAGCGCGGAATGCGCAAGAAAGTATGCTACGTTTTTCGCCCACAACTGCCGCGCGGCTTTTCTTCATCCTCGGCTGTCAGTCACGTGCCCCACATAAATAATTCAGTAATTATTTCTGCACACAAACCCACACACACACAGGCAGCCAACAATTTCATTATTAGTTTTCCCAGCATCCGGATAGACACGGATGCGGATGTGGATGTGGAGACCACAAAACAAAGGACTCCCGACTCACCGCATGCTCTTGCGCACCTCCTGCGGCTCAGGTGGCCGCGGCCTGTGCCGGCAGACCACGACGATGCCGGCCACGATAATTGACGTCACCACGACGGCGCCTATCACCACGACGGCGGCGAGTATCAGCAGCGTCGATTGCTTCTCCGGACCGCTGCCCGTGCTGGCGCCGGTGCCCAGGCCGCTGGAGCTTCCGCTGCCGCCCACACCGCCGCCCCCATGATGCGTTGTTTCTGCGGGCGTTGGGTCCTCGGACAGAATGGATTCATCTGGAAGCAAAAGGAGGGATACTATTACTACACTGATGAAAAATACTACAAATACTAATAAAGGTTTTGGCGTAGGTCATGATGTTTTACTACTATTGTATGGATTTTAATATTTAACAAGGACTATTTGCCAGAGTTTGCGAGGTTTGCTTCGAGAGGTCGACTTTTTCCAGTGCACTAACATGGATCGCAGATGGAGCATGAGATAGTTGGAGGGCTCCTAGCAATGATTTGTTATTTGCTCGGAATTAGTTTGATGCTCCTGCTGATTTCTGTTTGCCTCGCCTCGCTGCCGTTTATTTATTTACTTGTTTTTCTGCGATGTGCCGTATTATTTTGCCTAACTGATTGCTTTCGACTGTTTGCTTATTGTGTTTTCCCTGTTTGCCTGTTTGGCCCTTGTGAGCGGGCAAATTGGGTTGAAAATTGAAATTAGCCAAATCGCTGGGTGCTCTGCTATGGCAGATCTGACGGCATGATAAATAGTGGCTGCTGCGGCGGAGAAATTATGAAAATCAAAGGCCATTTTGGCCACTTATTACCAGCGATTAGACCTGATGGCACTTGCCGCAAAGCCTCGGCAATTATGAGCAACATGTGAGGCATTGTTTATATTTATTAGATTTTCAGCCAGCGGAAATTGCAACATAATGTGCGAGCCAAGCTCCAGGGCCCAGGCCAAACTGATTGTAAGATGATCCCCGGGCAAGATTTATGCCAGACATTCGTTAATGCCAGCCTCCCACCCATTTTCTTTGGCATCCAAGCGTTTCCGCTCCATTTGCGGGCCGTCAAAGCAACGGCCTCGGAATTGAAACATTGCCAGGACCAGCTACTTTCCTTCAGGTTTTCCAGATTTTCATGACCTGCTCCTTCCCATGGTCGTGGCTTTTGAAGTGAGCGTTTGAGTGGAAATTGCCTACACCTGCGGCTCAATTTAATTTTTGTTATTGCCCGGCCTTTTGCACTGGATCTGGATCGGCTGGAATCGGCTGGCTTCTGATGCCATGGCTCACGGCACCTCAGCCTGTTTTTTAATCAGTTTGCTCCATCCTCGACCTTCGTTTCGCCTTTGCCAACATTGTTTTCCTTATTTATACGCCTTTGATGCTTTTTTTCCCGGCTCAAGTGGCCACTTTGCCTGATATTTTGCACGTTTTCCTTACCCGGCGCAAAGTGTAATAAATTCTCTTGATGAGTTCTGCGTAAACTGATTTAAATCAGCGTCAGCTGATTTGGCTTCATTTTATTTATATTCCTGAACTGGTTTGGTTGGAAGCCAGCGGCTTCGGAATTTATCGGCCCACATATGCCGGCGAAAATAAAAAACTGCGTGGGCTAGGTGCTTGTTAAAATTCCGCATAAATTAGAAGGAGCCCCAGCCACCAAAATGGGAATGCCAAGTCCATACTCTCGGCTCTGTAATCACAGAGGGCGAATATACGAGTCTGCGCCAGCCCATTAACATACATAAGTAACTCGACGAGAAAAGCTGGGCAGCTGTTGTTTCATGTAAATAGGTTTCGCCAGCGAATTGAGTGCGAGCCGAAAATCTAGTGAGTGCGGTTAATCGAACATTTGCGTATCAAATGCAATTAGCCCCATTAAATCGGGCAATATGACTGATTTATGGCTAACTGGGCGAAGGAAGCGCACGAAATGCGAAATGAAAATGGCCAGAGGAGGGCAAATGGAAGTGGAAATGGTAATGGAAATGCAGATAAAAATAAAAATCAGCATGAAAATAATGACAACATTGTTGTCGTACGCGTAGTTGTGTGCGAGCTGAGAGAGCTGAGAATGGTGAAAGGAACAATAAAAGAAAAGTGTCTACGGTGGCCGTTAAGCAAAACGAAAATTGAAGCAATTCCGCTTACGCTTGGCTCACGGCTCACACACACACACACGCACACAATGGAGCTCGCAGAGGAGCCCATACAGGACCTCACATGCACGCACACAGCGACAGGCAGTCGCATTATGTCGTTAGGCAGGAGCAAAATGAAGAGGCTGTTGCTACACGCCCCTGCGTATACGTAATATGCGTGTGCCCCACTCAAAGAATTGATGGAAAATGCTGAAATGCTTTCCGCTCCACTGCATAACTCAGTCAGTGGATTAGAAAAGGGCGTCTCGTCCTTTGGGGTGGCACTGCCATCCCAGCTCGAGAGGCAGTTAGGCCGTCTTCAGGTTCTCATCTCTTTGCGCTCTAAGGACATCCCTGTGTCCCTGTGTCCCTGTGACGCCATGTGCGAACTTTTCGCGGCGGCTGATTGAAGACGATTTCCCCGAACTTGCGTTGATTTGAAAATGCAGTCAGGCGTTGAATTAGACAGTTCCGTCCTCAGCTGTTCAAGGGTTCCAGTTTCAGTTCAGTTCGGTCTCGGCCTCGGCCTCGGTTTCGGTTTCAGTTCCATGTTCAGGTCTTGGGTATTTTATTGGCCTTGGAAGAGAAGTGACCCACAAACTAGCAACTCGGGTGGCCATAACTTGTGCTCTTTATGTGATTAGCAGCGAGTTCTGCCTTTCTTGTTTTTGAGCTTCCGCCTCTCAACTGTGAAGTATCGGGTCGCTGTTTTCGGGCAAAAAAAGCGGCGAGGAGACAGAACAGGACCGGACCGAACGGGATAGCACTTGGGGATTGGGGCACTCACCATATGGTCCCAGTTGGGCGGCCACGCGTACATTCTCAATCACCACCGGCGGCTCGCTTCGTCCTTTGGCGTTGACGGCGTAAACTAAAAATTGATATTCACGTCCCGGCTCTAAATTATTCAAACGAAACTGTGGACTGTTCTCCTGCATGCGGAAGATGGGTGCAGATGTCGCCTGGAATTATAGACATTTATGTTATATAGCAAACTAAATACGCATATACTGTGTATGTATGTTTTGGCTGATTTGGGATGCGGGCATGCCCATGACAAGAGGCGCATTTATAATTCACTCGCCACACGCTGCAAAGTATGCTATGTATTTTTAACTTTCTGTCCCATTCGCAGACCCAACGCATAAATAATTGCTCATGCCTGAAAAATACGGAGGCACAACTGTACTGATGGCCACGCAGAAAACAGCAACTGAAACAGCAACTGAAACAGAAACAGGACACTGTCTAAAATTTAAAACTGAATATCCGTTTGCCGTAATGGGACACAATCGAGTGAGCTTCGTTGGTTACGCACAAATTCCCACTCAAGTAAGCGTAAGTAATTTATGTTGTCCTTGCGGCACTTTTCCAACCTCACTCCCTGCGAATGTGTGTGTGTGTGTCCTTTATCTAGCATGAAACTTTAAAGCTGACTGCCAAAGGAGCAACCAGGGCGTGGGTCAGAGTCCGGAGATGATGTCGGTCCATCATCATCGCCACGGTCATCATCGTCGTAACATTTTCATTTTCATTTTCATTTTCATGACCATCCTCGTGATGAGCTTTGCGCTTGGCTACTTTGCTAATAAACTCGCCCGGCCAGCTTCAGCGCTTCATCAAGGCTGTTGAGAGCAGCCAAACGAAATGAAATGAAATTTTCATATGATATTCCCATCTAGCAGTGACAGAGATAATTTAATAACTCAGCATGCACTCCCCGAGTGGCTGGACAAAGGGTGAAATCATCGGACCCAGGACCCAACATTAATTATGTTGTCCCTTTTACACTCGAGTTGAGCTGAAGAAAACCCCTGGCCAAGCACCCATGGCACCCATGGCACACCCAAAATACTTATTAATAATTCAAGCAGAAAAGTCAAAGGACATGCACACTAATTGACCATATGGATTTCAAGTGAATTATTGCACACACCCTCAGATCTATCTTATATGCACCCCGATTCTGGTTCTGATTCTGTAACTGATTCTGTTTCGCTTTTAGCTGGCAGCTGTTTGCCGAGCCGTGAGTAAATTTTAATTTAATTGAGCAATTTGCGCTTGCCCTGCCGGAACTTATCAACTTAGACTAACTGGATTCGGGCGGGGAATCCAGATGCAGCGCCACTCACCTGATCGTTGAGCGTGGATATCTCGTTGTCGCCCAGGCCGATGGCCTCGCTGAACTGGCCTCGTCCCTGGCCCGCCGATCCGCCCGGATCTCCTGAGTAGAGTGGGTCGCCGCCCACCACCTCCAGCATGAAGTACTGCGAGAGTCCTCCGTCACTGCCCGCCACACAAACCACCTCCAGGACGGTGTCGTTGCGCAATTCGCAGGCCTTCGGTGCCTCCGGGGTGTCTGCAGAAAAGGTTCCAATGGAAAGGGATGAACGGGTATCCAGATGGCAGTTAGTCATAGTCATAGACAAGCCGGGACTTAATGGCCCAACGGCCACCCCATCGGTAATTGCATTTAAACGCAGCTCCTGTCGCCTTAAAGCGCCACTTTGCCGCAAACGAAGGCGTTGCCCCCGTTAAAACAAGAAAACGACTGGCGACTACGCCCCTAAAATTATGAAATCAGCTTTAATTTTGGCCCCAGGGTGCGATGCACAAAGTGGGGATAACTAAATTGGTCTATAATTCTACGCTGTCTTTAAAATGTTACCAAACTTAGGGTGAAGTAAGGGAATATGCTTGAAAGGGAATATCCACTATCTTTTGATTTTTAAAGTGTTCAAAGGTGATTTGTATTGATGACAAACGGAAATTTCATATGAGCTAAAATTACAATATTATTTAAGAGTTGTATATGTGTTTCTGAAACGCATCAAAGGTCTTTCCCCGAGTGCATCGCAACGCCTCTGTGTACTTTGCATTAACAACCATCGAAGTTGGCCAAGTCCTGGAGCAACGACAGGCAGTTCAACCTGCGGATTATTTGGCAACATTTTGGCCAACTACACCGGTGCCGGCGACGCCAATGCCACCCAGTCCTTCCAGTCCGTTCCGTGCCTTCACCCGGCACACGCTCGCCAATTATGTAAGTAGATCCTTATGTGTGCATAAGAGATAGACTGGGCGGAGGAAGGCGGACGGAGGACGGAGGACTCCGACACCGGCAACGGCACCGGTGGCAATGCCGACACCAGTACTGTTTAAATTGCGGCGAAGATGGAGGTAAGTGCCGGCATCTTGTGGCAACAACTTCCTCGACTCGACTTGAGTAGGAGGGCGAAGGAGAAGGAGGAGGAGGAGGAGGATGCCTCCACTTCCAGTTCCACTTACTTGCCGGCAGGATGTGCACCAGACAGGGCGTCGTTTGGCGGCCCACAGCATTGCTGGCCCAGCAGGCCAGCGTTATTAACTCGGAGTCCGTTTGGGGCAGGTACGTCACCGTGCTGGCCAGTCCGTTCGACTGTATCCTCGAGTTGAGCACCTGTAATGTTGGGCAAACAGACGGGGATTAGGGCGGCTTCATTGTGCGAACGTAGGCAGAAGGATCAGATGCACTTGCCCACTCGACTCGAATCGACTCCACTCGACTCGACTCCCATCGAACCAAATCGAATTGAAATCAAAGCAAACCCAGAGCATCCAACCAAAAACGAATCCCAGTTCGGGGGGCATAAATATTTGAAGGCAAATAAGTTTTTATTGCTAGCCAAACGAATCGAGCTGGAGACGGTATAAGTCATCCTGTGGCCAACCGGGCAACGGGTTTCGTGCAGATTTTCAAATAACTTTTGCGGTAAATGAATTACTTTATTTATTGTGCACAGCTGTCCCAGAACCGACATTTCGAGGAAAGTCGATTCACATATGCAAGTCTTTTCGGTTCGTTTGGTCAGCCATTCTGCTATTTTTCCTCCTCCAACTGCTGTCTTTCTACCACTTTTGGCATTTTCTGCCAGCTCTGCAGTCCTCCGCTTTGCACCTAAACGGTTTGCATTTTAAATTCCGTAGAACGTCGGGTGTGTATGCCCCACCATGCCGAATTTATACATTTTGATTAAATTTTAATTCAGTCACGTACGGCGCCCGATTCCCCACCTCGACCATTGTTCGTCTGCTCTGAATTGCCGAACGAAAATCCCAGACAACCCTCGAGTATTTAGCACAAGTTCTGCTAATAGCACCCGACTTCGAACTTGCCACCAGCCCACCCATCCGATCCATCCAACCATCTACTCCCACCCACTTCTATTCTTCCGGACTGACTGGCTGCATGGGATGCCGAGTAATTGCGACAGTCGGACCAAAGGCTCCGGCTGCAGCACGTTTCCCGGCATAATTACAGACACAATAAGTTCGGTTTGGATTCCGGACGAGGCATGCACCTTTGCCCCAGTGCGATGCACGGAGAAATAACTGCTTTGAACTTGATGCCGCACAACAGCCATTGTGCGAGTATTTTATGAATCAATTAAATTCCAATTGTTTTACCATGACTCCATTTCGCTTTAATGACAAAGCGATAAGTGATAACTGACATATATTTGTGGGTAAAATCCTTCATTTAAACATGTATTTCTTTGCCTGTGCCCCAAAGGGAAAGTAGTACTCACCGGCGACACGTTCCGGGTATTGTTGTACGTCCAACTGAAGCGCACGGAGTCCGGCGGATCGGCATCCACCTCGCATTTGACCAGGATCGAGTGAAGGCTGACGGCTCCAATGGAGGTTTGTTCGGTGCCCGATTTACAGCGCGGCGAGACTGAAAGGATGAGACGAGGGAATCGGGAGCTTCATAAATACACGCCGAATCGAGTTGTTAGGCAGCAAAAAGTTTCCATTTTAAATTCGTTCAGCCCACCCCCTCGGTGCGCAAACAACTGCCGCCCACTCTCGGGGGGATGTAGCCCCCCCCCATCCAACCAGCCCCCCTCAAAATACACACAAAAATATGAGGCAAGAACGAGAGGCTGGTGAATCCAAAGGGAAGTCGAGCCAGCTACATAGCCTTGAGCATAGTAATTAACATGTTTCCGTTTCACGAACGAGGGGTTTGTGTTCTCCAGGTTTCTCTTTTTTATCTAGTCCTGCTTTTTATATTTATTTTATGTGTAGCTTAGCGTGGAAATCTGTGTGCCAGGTATCGAAAGAAAGGCGAGTCGCTCGGCGCTTACTTTCACTTGGCTGTAAAATGGGAGCAGATATGCGGAAGCACTGCCTTTGGCCCCCAGGGAAATGTGTCTGTCTGTCTGTTTGAATACTCGAGTATCCCGGGCTTCCAGTATCACAGATTGTCTGCTGAAAGCCGCCTTTAAAATGTAAGTCACGCCGAGGCAGATAAACATTCGAAGCTTCATTACTACGTTCTTGGCTTTTATCACAAGTCGGCTGCATTTCACCGTCGCATACTTAAGCCATCTGTCTGCGAACTTGTTGCTGTTGAGCGTGTGTGCCCAAATATGGGAAAAGTTACCTAAAGCGCCAACTCAATGCATAGACGACTCCCTCCGCAAAACTTTCATAATTTCAAATATAAACTACTTAAACTGTCGTAGGTCCTCGGGAAGGGAAGGGACTGCAGCAATGCATTTCACATTTTCCAAGTGGCAGCCCAACAGACGTGGCACTGTTCCGGTTTTCCAGCATTGGCAACATGAAAAGACGCTTCTTTTTCCCTTACTTGTAAGCTGACAACACAATAAATGCGTCCAACAATGGTCCACGCACCATCGCTCTCTGGGATCCCTTCCTCGCAAATGCCATATGTGGGTACATGAGCCCGGCCAAATAGTGTACTTAAGAAGCACTCGAGTTCCTTGGTCGATTGTGCAGCCTTTCCTCTGATTTATGCAACCAAATCGCCTGTGTGAGCAGTAGTATATGAAATCCACATTAATCACCTCAAAAAATGGCCAAAAGGCAGGGGAAACTCGACCCGAGGCTGTGAAAAAATCGGTTGCCTGCAGCCGTGAGGTTTATGAAAAGTTTGTTGGGCGAGCGGAAAATTGCGAGTGCTGGATTTATAGGCGAAAGTTTTGTCAGTGCGTGTGTATAAATCAATGGCGGTTGTTTAGGCCAGCGGCAGCACGAATTTCAGAAATTTTACAATTGTAAACAAGCGGACAACAAACGCCGACAGTTACAGATGAAGTTAGCGACGTTCATGCATCATTTCTAAGCAATTTCCCCATCCGACGCTGCCCCAAAAAGTTGCAAACTCCCATTCCGGCAGCCATCGCTTGTTGATTTTGATTTTATTCTGCAGCTTCCGTTTCCGGCTCGCCATGCTGTTTCATCACGTCCTGGCCCCCACTTTGCTGCTCCCACATGTAGTTTGTGTATATTTTATTTCGCAAGTCGTACTTACACTGCACTTTTAAAGTGAGGCTCGAACTCCGGGTCTCGCCCTCCGTATTTGTGGCACCGCAGGCGTACGCCCCCGCACTTTCCCTCTCCAATTGCGTCAAGTGCATTATTTCCGTGCTCTCGCCCGACATTCGCATGCCCTGAAATGTGAGGAAGGGGTTATTAAATCGGTACAGAATGGTCTGGCTTTGTGAAGTCCACTTATTGGGAACAAGCTGCTTAAGCCACTCTAAACTGGCTTTAAGTTAGGCGATGAAATGAAAATATAGTTCAATTCAATCTGATGAATCTTTCTATAAATATTGTTGCACACTTTCGTATCTTTCATATCATTCAATTATTTACTAATTATTATTTTCTTCGTACATATACGGTTATAGGCCATTTGGCTGTTCATTTAAGCGAGACTGCTAGTATTGTTTCAGTCATAAATCAAAATATGCGTATTTAAATAATTATGTAAGGATTTTCTGGCCTTCGCAGTATGCTTAGATATATGTGGTGACATTAGGAGAATATAATTTGCATTTGATGACTTATTTTGGGGACTTTTCCCTATTTGCCTGCGATTGCACACACATGCGCCGAAAAGTATTGTCCCACTGGCCTGAGATGGCACAAATTGCGGTGTTGCCGGCTGCATTGTCGAGTGACCACAGCACCCACAGTACCCACAGCCACCACCATCACCACCACCATCCCCATCACTGGCAGCACTAAATGGCAACCACAATGGAGCCAATGCTTCCCGACCGGCTATTTGCCATTTCCCATTTGGTATGTGGGTGAATCGCTGCGGTTGCCGGCGCCTAATGTGGTCTTTTAGTGGGCCAAATAATAAATGGATTTTATTAAATCAAATTAATGTATTTTTCGGCATTTAGCATTTAGCATTCAGCATTTGACACTCGACTTGAACTGCTCAGTCGCTGGTTTCGCTGGACAAGTGACTCCATGCGGATGCAAATGCACCATTAGTAAAGCTTGACTACGGAATAATTCGATTATGCATTTAGCAGCGAAATCCCCGCTGACATTTGCACATGCATTTAATTAATTCATAATAATAATAATAATAATGCAATTAAAATGGCTTAAGCGCCTTCCACCTATCCGCCCACCTATGTGTGCTCCGTATCATTGACAGCTAATTTGCACCATCGCATTTGAGTCCTCTGGAAACACGCGTTATAGATACGCCGCAAATTGGCCATGCTGCATCATTTGATTATTTGTAAAATTCATTAAAAAGCCATGACTGCGCTGATGGAGGACGGTAATTGCATTGGCCCTTGTGCCATAATGCATTTAACAATGCCGAGCGGGAAAGTTGGGAACACACATTCATTTGTGTATTCGCTCGAAAGTGGCTTTAATTCGATTCCTCGCAGGGATTTCATTTTGTATTTTGCGGGCTTCAGAGGGCTCTGAAAAGTTTAAGTTGACCCAGTGCAAAAAGTTGGCCAAGCAAAAGAATGGCGAAAACCCGTCTGATAATAACAATCTATACACGACAAAACTGACGTCGAACGTTGGCTCTTCACAACTTTTTTGCGCACATTTGGCCAGTCGTTTTTCATAATTCGTTGCCTCATTTTACCCGTAGCCTATTAATGCCACTGCCAGAAGTGGGCGAACCGAAAATCAAAAATCAAAGTGCCCTAAATATAGTAAAGAGAAGTTTTTGGAAAACCACCCCTCGACGGCCAAATGATTTTGGCAATTTGTTAACTGCCTGGCCAAAGGAGGAGAATGGCACGGGAAAATATGAGCTCGGAAAAATATGAGCTCGGGTTTATGGTTTTTGCTTGTTATGAAAAATGATGATGTGCCATGTGGACAAAACTGTCAAAGGATGTCAGAATCATGCGGTTTAATAATAAAAACCCAAGACAAAGTCACAGTCAGGCGGTCAACAATGGTTGGCCAGCACAAAATTGGCACAAAAATAGCACAAAAATATCCAACTGTGTCCATGGCAATACCAATCTCTTTCGGTTTATTTGTCGCATGATAAATAGTTAAATAATTTGCAACACGAATGGACTTCAATGGGCATCGTGAGCCAATTATAAGACGTTTGAAAAATGAGCCCAGCATTTGTGCGGCACTCTTTCTAACCACCATTATCCTTGGGCACAGCAGGAATGCGAAGTATTTTCACTCTTACAGGATAACGCCAAATTAAATTAAACCGCAAAAGTGTCTGCTTCTAAATAGCCACAAGAATGTGAACGCCTTGGGCCAACTTGGAGCAATTGAAAATAATAATTTCTAAGTGTCCGATACACGTCAGCTTGCGAAAATGGACGATGATGAGTGGGAGTGGAGTACTCACATTCTTGAACCAGGAGTAGCTGGTCACCGGCGGCCTGGCATCTGCTCGACATTTAAAGGTGACATTCTGGCCCTCGGCCCGCGTCACCAGCCGGCTGGGATCCTCGTTGGCCAAGTGCACCGATACCGTGGGCGGATCTGTGGAAAGAAGATGCGGAGAAGGCGAGTCAGTAAGTAAGTAAGTGCGGCATCCGGCTTAATGAGCGCAGCGAATTGCTGAATAAAAGTCAAAATAATAAACGGCAATGGGCCGGGAGGTGAACTCCGGACTCCTGGGCAGCAGCATTGCGTAATGTACTTAGCGCCAGCTGCTGTACAACATCCTTTGGGCCGAGGAATAGCAGGCCTCGTTCTCTTGACCACACGCCAAATGGGACTATTAGTTACGGTTGTAAAAATCTAATACGCGACGAAGACTCTTGGCGCCACTTGTCCCCAGCCAGTCTTTTGTCCGCCATCCTCAAAAGTTGAGTATGGAGCCGGGACCAACTATGGCGGCAAATGTCAATGACGTCGGCTGAACGGTCCAAAAAATTACCGACATTTATGCTGAATTATTAAAAGGAAACACAAAATGAAGAGCTGGCAAAGCGAGTCTACTGCTGGTCTGATTTGAGTGCAGGTGATTCAGATTTCCCGAGTTTAGTACACGTCGCAAAAAGGAAAAGTTTAGGCAGAATTAAAAATATAAAAATAAAAAAATTAAATATAATGATAATTCTCAATAATTCTCATAGCACCTTCTTGCTAAAGAATAACTTTTATAAGAACAACGAACATAATCTGGCTCCAGTTATTCCCAGTGCACCTTGCCATACAAGAAAACTTCGACGAAAGCAGAGGGGGCAGTAATGTAAGGCGGAAGTCGGAAGCGGATGTTGCAAATATTATAGAGGCCGGCGGAAAAAGGGAAAGCAATAGAAACATAACGGTGCAAATTTAATCAAGGCAGGTCAAAGAACACGACATTGAAGTCAACTTGACTGCATTTTATAAGCCGCTTAGCAGAAGGCGGCCAACAGGTTGATGTGGCCTCCAGCCAACTTGGTTGGCTCCGTTCCGGATCCGTTGGCTCCTCTGGATCCTTTGGCCTTAATAAAATTACGCTGGCTCTGGCCGTAATATGCGTCTAATTGGACTTTCCTCGGTCAAGCCCACACAGAAGCTCACACATGCACACTGAAATAGGCCAGGTCCCGGGCAGTTGTGTTAAGAATACACAAAGCCTCCGAAGGCCATGGCCCGGATTCAGAGTCCAGACCCAGACCCGAACCCAAACCCAAATGCCCAGCAGCCTTTATTCCACAGGCCACACTGCTGCCCATAGCAGGCTACCAGTTCACCTATCGCAAAGGAGGAGGAATATACCCGCACTGGAGTATGTACTCACATGCCACACGGATGATGCGCTTGTCCTCGATGGCGCCACCGGAGAACCAGGGATTCGTGGCCCGACACGTCAGCTCGGCGTTATCGTTCTCCGATGTTACCTTCAATGTCAGGATACTCGTGGTGATATTCCCGTCCTGCGAATAAATAAATGGGAGACAAAGAACGGCGTATTAGCTATGGATTTTTATTAGCTATGATTTTGGATTATGTATTTCACGCAAAATATAATATTAATATTATTTCTTAATAACTAAGCTGCTGTTGTTTCTTGTCCTAAGGCTGAAGTGGCATACCTCTAAATGTTTCTGGAGCAATTCTCTAAAAACTGCATTCAAATTTGAAAATTTATTTTTCCAAATTTTTTTTTGTAATTTTTCTGATGTTATGATGTTGTACAAATTCAAAAATGTGCCAAGGCTGAAGTTCGTAAGTCCATAACTCAACTTATTTTAATCGGATCTTGAAGTGGCATACCTCTAAATGTTTCTGGAGCAATCCTCTAAAAAACTGCATTCAAATTTGAAAATTTATTTTTCCAAAATTTTTTTGTCATTTTTCTGATGTTATGATGTTGTACAAATTCAAAAATGTGCCAAGGCTGAAGTTCTAAAGTCCATAACTCAACTTATTTTAATCGGATCTTGAAGTGGCATACGTCTAAATGTTTCTGGAGCAATTCTCTATAAAACTGCATTCAAATTTGGAAATTTATTTTTCTAACATTTTTTTGTCATTTTTCTGATGTTATGATAATGTACAAATTCAAAAATGTGCCAAGGCTGAAGTTCTAAAGTCCATAACTCAACTTATTTTAATCGGATCTTGAAGTGGCATACGTCTAAATGTTTCTGGAGCAATTCTCTATAAAACTGCATTCAAATTTGGAAATTTATTTTTCCAAAATTTTTTTGTCATTTTTCTGATGTTATGATAATGTACAAATTCAAAAATGTGCCAAGGCTGAAGTTCTAAAGTCCATAACTCAACTTATTTTAATCGGATCTTGAAGTGGCATACGTCTAAATGTTTCTGGAGCAATTCTCTAAAAAACTGCATTCAAATTTGGAAATTTATTTTTCTAACATTTTTTTGTCATTTTTCTGATGTTATGATAATGTACAAATTCAAAAATGTGCCAAGGCTGAAGTTCTAAAGTCCATAACTCAACTTATTTTAATCGGATCTTGAAGTGGCATACGTCTAAATGTTTCTGGAGCAATTCTCTATAAAACTGCATTCAAATTTGGAAATTTATTTTTCCAAAATTTTTTTGTCATTTTTCTGATGTTATGATAATGTACAAATTCAAAAATGTGCCAAGGCTGAAGTTCTAAAGTCCATAACTCAACTTATTTTAATCGGATCTTGAAGTGGCATACGTCTAAATGTTTCTGGAGCAATTCTCTAAAAAACTGCATTCAAATTTGGAAATTTATTTTTCTAACATTTTTTTGTCATTTTTCTGATGTTATGATAATGTACAAATTCAAAAATGTGCCAAGGCTGAAGTTCTAAAGTCCATAACTCAACTTATTTTAATCGGATCTTGAAGTGGCATGCGTCTAAATGTTTCTGGAGCAATTCTCTAAAAAACTGCATTCAAATATGGAAATTTATTTTTCTAACATTTTTTTGTCATTTTTCTGATGTTATGATAATGTACAAATTCAAAAATGTGCCAAGGCTGAAGTTCTAAAGTCCATAACTCAACTTATTTTAATCGGATCTTGAAGTGGCATACGTCTAAATGTTTCTGGAGCAATTCTCTATAAAACTGCATTCAAATTTGGAAATTTTTTTTTCCAACATTTTTTTGTCATTTTTCTGATGTTATGATGTTGTACAAATTCAAAAATGTGCCACGGCTGAAGTTCGTAAGTCCATAACTCAACTAATTTTAATCGGATCTTGAAGTGGCATACCTCTAAATGTTGTTGGAGCAATCATCTAAAAAACTGCATTCAAATTTGAAAATTTATTTTTCCAAAATTTTTTAGTCATTTTTCTGATGTTATGATGTTGTACAAATTCAAAAATGTGCCAAGGCTGAAGTTCTAAAGTCCATAACTCAACTTATTTCAATCGGATCTTGAAGTGGCATACCTCTAAATAATTCTGGAGCAATTCTCTAAAAAACTGCATTCAAATTTGAAAATTTATTTTTCCAACATTTTTTTGTCATTTTTCTGATGTTATGATGTTGTACAAATTTAAAAATGTGCCAAGTCTGAAGTTCTAAAGTCCATAACTCAACTTATTTCAATCGGATCTTGAAGTGGCATACCTCTAAATGATTCTGGAGCAATTTTCTAAAAAACTGCATTCAAATTTGGAAATTTTTTTTTCCAAAATTTTTTTGTCATTTTTCTGATGTGATGATGTTGTACAAATTCAAAAATGTGCCATGGCTAAAGTTTGAAAGGCCATAACTCAACTCATTTTATTCGGATATTGAAGTGGCATACCTCTAAATGATTCTGGAGCAATTCTCTAAAAAACTGCATTCAAATTTTGAAATTTTTTTTTCCAAAATTTTTTTGTCATTTTTCTGATGTTATGATAATGTACAAATTCAAAAATGTGCCAAGGCTGAAGTTCTAAAGTCCATAACTCAACTTATTTCAATCGGATCTTGAAGTGGAATACCTCTAAATGATTCTGGAGCAATTCTCTAAAAAACTGCATTCAAATTTGGAAATTTTTTTTTCCAAAATTTTTTTGTCATTTTTCTGATGTTATGATGTTGTACAAATTCAAAAATGTGCCATGGCTAAAGTTTGAAAGGCCATAACTCAACTTATTTTAATCGGATCTTGAAGTGGCATACCTCTAAATGATACTGGAGCAATTCTCTAAAAAACTGCATTCAAATTTTGAAATTTTTTTTTCCAAAATTTTTTTGTCATTTTTCTGATGTTATGATGTTGTACAAATTCAAAAATGTGCCACGGCTGAAGTTCGTAAGTCCATAACTCAACTAATTTTAATCGGATCTTGAAGTGGCATACCTCTAAATGATTCTGGAGCAATTCTCTAAAAAACTGCATTCAAATTTGAAAATTTATTTTTCCAACATTTTTTTGTCATTTTTCTGATGTTATGATGTTGTACAAATTCAAAAATGTGCCACGGCTGAAGTTCGTAAGTCCATAACTCAACTAATTTTAATCGGATCTTGAAGTGGCATACCTCTAAATGTTGTTGGAGCAATCATCTAAAAAACTGCATTCAAATTTGAAAATTTATTTTTCCAAAATTTTTTTGTCATTTTTCTGATGTTATGATGTTGTACAAATTCAAAAATGTGCCATGGCTAAAGTTTGAAAGGCCATAACTCAACTTATTTTAATCGGATCTTGAAGTGGCATACCTCTAAATGATTCTGGAGCAATTCTCTAAAAAACTGCATTCAAATTTGAAAATTTATTTTTCCAACATTTTTTTGTCATTTTTCTGATGTTATGATGTTGTACAAATTTAAAAATGTGCCAAGTCTGAAGTTCTAAAGTCCATAACTCAACTTATTTCAATCGGATCTTGAAGTGGCATACCTCTAAATGATTCTGGAGCAATTTTCTAAAAAACTGCATTCAAATTTGGAAATTTTTTTTTCCAAAATTTTTTTGTCATTTTTCTGATGTTATGATGTTGTACAAATTCAAAAATGTGCCATGGCTAAAGTTTGAAAGGCCATAACTCAACTCATTTTATTCGGATATTGAAGTGGCATACCTCTAAATGATTCTGGAGCAATTCTCTAAAAAACTGCATTCAAATTTTGAAATTTTTTTTTCCAACATTTTTTTGTCATTTTTCTGATGTTATGATGTTGTACAAATTCAAAAATGTGCCACGGCTGAAGTTCGTAAGTCCATAACTCAACTAATTTTAATCGGATCTTGAAGTGGCATACCTCTAAATGTTGTTGGAGCAATCATCTAAAAAACTGCATTCAAATTTGAAAATTTATTTTTCCAAAATTTTTTAGTCATTTTTCTGATGTTATGATGTTGTACAAATTCAAAAATGTGCCACGGCTGAAGTTCGTAAGTCCATAACTCAACTAATTTTAATCGGATCTTGAAGTGGCATACCTCTAAATGATTCTGGAGCAATTCTCTAAAAAACTGCATTCAAATTTGAAAATTTATTTTTCCAACATTTTTTTGTCATTTTTCTGATGTTATGATGTTGTACAAATTCAAAAATGTGCCACGGCTGAAGTTCGTAAGTCCATAACTCAACTAATTTTAATCGGATCTTGAAGTGGCATACCTCTAAATGTTGTTGGAGCAATCATCTAAAAAACTGCATTCAAATTTGGAAATTTATTTTTCTAACATTTTTTTGTCATTTTTCTGATGTTATGATAATGTACAAATTCAAAAATGTGCCAAGGCTGAAGTTCTAAAGTCCATAACTCAACTTATTTTAATCGGATCTTGAAGTGGCATACGTCTAAATGTTTCTGGAGCAATTCTCTATAAAACTGCATTCAAATTTGGAAATTTATTTTTCCAAAATTTTTTTGTCATTTTTCTGATGTTATGATAATGTACAAATTCAAAAATGTGCCAAGGCTGAAGTTCTAAAGTCCATAACTCAACTTATTTTAATCGGATCTTGAAGTGGCATACGTCTAAATGTTTCTGGAGCAATTCTCTAAAAAACTGCATTCAAATTTGGAAATTTATTTTTCTAACATTTTTTTGTCATTTTTCTGATGTTATGATAATGTACAAATTCAAAAATGTGCCAAGGCTGAAGTTCTAAAGTCCATAACTCAACTTATTTTAATCGGATCTTGAAGTGGCATGCGTCTAAATGTTTCTGGAGCAATTCTCTAAAAAACTGCATTCAAATATGGAAATTTATTTTTCTAACATTTTTTTGTCATTTTTCTGATGTTATGATAATGTACAAATTCAAAAATGTGCCAAGGCTGAAGTTCTAAAGTCCATAACTCAACTTATTTCAATCGGATCTTGAAGTGGCATACCTCTAAATAATTCTGGAGCAATTCTCTAAAAAACTGCATTCAAATTTGAAAATTTATTTTTCCAACATTTTTTTGTCATTTTTCTGATGTTATGATGTTGTACAAATTTAAAAATGTGCCAAGTCTGAAGTTCTA